TTTTTTTTTTTACCCAAACACTCCAAAATGACTTATCTCCGGTACCGAACTGAAATAAGTTAATAAGTCAGTTTGAAAAGCTTACCCAAACACCCCCTAAACTGTAAAGTATTGGTTACCTTGAAAAGTCAACATCCAGTTCTTGAAGCAATCGTGAGGAATCAAATGTAATTTCCTGATCAAAATCACCACCAAAATGTTGGATTATGATCAAAATCCCCTTCGGATATGAGTTTTCTCAAAGAATTAATCGACAGTTTCAGCTCAATTTTTTCTGATCCTGTTTCATCATCGAACACCTCAAATCAAAACCCTAGTTCATCCAACAATTTTCATAATCTACCAACCATGGAAGGGGTGGAGAATGAACGGGCTGCATATAAGCTCAAAGGTTACTTTGATCTTGCAAAAGAAGAGATTGATAAAGCGGTTAGGGCAGAAGAGTGGGGTTTAATCGACGATGGTATCTTACATTACCAAAACGCTCAGCGTATATTAGGCGAAGCCATTGCTACACCTGTACCTTCGTATATCAGCTCCAGGTGTCAAATTTTTTATTTAATTTGTTTGATTATACCCTGTTTGTGTATTTCTCGAATCAAAACTTGTATGGATTTTATTACAACATTTTAGCATCAAATTAAGTCTATGTACTTGGTTACAAATTTTATTGTGGCTATCCGATCTTTCTATCAGACAGTTCTGAAAATCTATCAACAGTGAAGTTGAAATGTAGCCAATTTGAATTTTATCTCTTTGTTTAGGGTGGGGGGTTATGATGGGTTTTCTTAGGAACTTGATTTTCTTTAGGTGTAAGGTGTTTTTAGAAGACTGGGTTATAAGACACTACACATCAGTAGTAAAGGGTATGAACATAAACCCCCAGCGCATGATCTTGTAATCTTCTCTGTTCAAAATGGATGCATATGTAAACTAGTATTTGATTATTAGTTAGAACAACCGACTTCTATGTTGGTATGCCTCTACTTCTGTCCTGCTCACACCCTTGATTCAATTGGTTAGTAATGAACTAGTAGTGCGTTTGTTTTTAAAAAATTCTGTCTTCTTGATCGCATGTTTAGGTTTCAATTTATTGATCTTGCTGCTATGTGGAGCAAATTTGCTACTTTTGATTTTAGCATCACCATTTAGAACTTCCCTTAGGGTTTTAGTAAATTATCATACTTAAAATTATGTCAATTTCCGTTCCTGACTTTTTCAACAGAGAGCAAGAGAAGGTGAAATCTTATCGCCAAAAGATATCAAAATGGCAAGGTCAAGTTTCTGAGAGACTACAGACTTTAAACCATCGATCAGGTTATAAGATTTCAACTTCTTTCAGATGATTGTAGATTCTTTTGATTCGATATTGAATGTTTTATTTGCTTAATTTCCTCATGCTTCCTTTTCTTGCTTTTCTCCTACCAGGTGGCACGTCAATAAACAAGGTATGGATTGGTCTAACTAAATTGTAAGTTTATATATCTAATTTATTAATCACCTTTAGTGTCAATGTTGGCAAAGCATTTACTATTAGTCTATTACTATGTAATGCATCCATCTCGTTTGAAAAACAATGTTATGCATTCATGTCTGACACATAAGAGTAGTAATGGGAGATTAACGTGATTGTACATTTAAATCGTTTGTGAAGCGATTGCGATTGTCTTTACTCAATGACTTCCTTAGTTCATCAGTGCACATCACGACAGTGTTAGTTCGCAGTGGCTTGTTTTTATAATGTTTGTATATATCCTCAAACTATTTGCAGACAACATCACCTCGGTTACAAACTACAGCAGTCTCTTCATCAATATCTAATGCTACAAAAGTGGTGTCACAAAAGTCTTCTGGTCCCAGTCTACGTGGTGTTGTGACACGGACTCAGAGTAGCAAAGCAATGAACTCGAAGCCTGTTCAAGATTCTAATGGTGGTCTTGATCCAAAGTTGATTGAGATGATAAATTCTGTTATCGTGGACAGAAGTCCATCCGTTAAATGGGAAGATATTGGTTAGATACTATAACATTATCCTTTTGCGGGGTGGTTTATTTCTAGTTACTTTTTATTTTTCAAAAGATTCCTTTTAAGTTTCTAGAACTCATCAACTGATTGGTGACTGCAGCTGGCCTTGAAAAAGCTAAACAAGCTTTGCTGGAAATGGTAATCCTGCCAACGAAAAGAAAAGACCTATTTACTGGCCTCCGTAGACCAGCTAAAGGTATTTTTTCAGTTAGGAAGGTGTTATGTTCAATGAACATCTTTCTTAGCATCTTCTTTCTTTTCTTGGTTTTGTTTCTTTCAGGCTTGCTTCTCTTTGGTCCACCAGGCACCGGTAAGACCATGCTTGCGAAGGCAGTTGCTTCGGAATCAGAAGCAACCTTTTTCAACATCTCTGCTTCCTCTTTAACATCAAAGTGGGTATGTCTTTCTTCATGATTATAGTTACTAAGTTTTCTCAACACGATGTGGATATTTTCTCATTCACATATGTTTGTTTGTACTAAAACAGGTGGGAGAGGGCGAAAAACTTGTTCGGACCCTTTTCGCAGTTGCTGTTTCTCGACAACCCTCTGTGATATTCATGGATGAAGTATGCTACTGCTTTATTTTAATGATGCTCATTTATCTCCTCCATTTTAGAAGTAATGAGCTTTTTGATCAACTAGTAAAAAGTCAAAGACTTTATAAACTTTCGGATGTAAATCACCACTTTATATGGATAAAACATGTTTTCTCACCAAACATCTAAAAATATTGTATTTCAAGTCTTCAACAAATCACAGAATTAAATTTGACAATTGTTTCTTTGTGTTACATAGATTGATAGTGTTATGTCAGCAAGAACGGTTAATGAGCATGATGCAAGCAGAAGATTGAAGTCGGAGTTCCTTGTTCAGTTTGATGGGGTAGCCTCAAAGTCGGATGATCTAGTAATTGTTATTGGTAAGCTCCACACAGTATGTCAGTGTCATAATTAAAACCTCACTTCAATGTTGCTGGTTAGTTTTTTATGCAGAGTGAAACAAGACATTTCTCTAGTCATCCCAGGCTGCATGAACAAGCATGTTGTTTGCAGTATCATGTTACTTGTACCTTTTCACTTGTCTGACATCTTGTTATGTAATGCACATCCTCTTGTTCATGCAGGTGCAACTAATAAACCACAAGAATTGGACGATGCTGTCCTTAGGAGATTGGTGAGTATGCTTGTGCATGAATGTACATGTAGATTACGTTTTCAGGAAACGATAACGTAAAATGATAGAAAAATGTAAAAAGACCAAAATGCTCCGCTATTAATGGGCTTCTTTTAACACGACTTTGATAAAGGGACGAAAACCACAACAAAATGCATACCACAGTGACTAAAGTCGTAATTAATGCGTTTTAGGGATGAAAATCGAGAAAAATGCACACCACAGGGACCAAAAGTGAAATTTACTTAAATCAACTTGTTAGAGTCCTATATTGGCTAGACTTGGACCATTTCTTCTTATATGTCGGAACCACCCTTCTCTCCTCAAAGGGCTCTTTTTGGAGAGTAATATGGGGTTTCACATATTCTCATATGGTATAAGAGCCATGATCTACCACTCTAGGGACTCGACACACTCGACAACAATCTATGCCAGTCTAGTCTCCATTGAAGGAGGATGTTAAAGTCCTACATCGGCTATATTTGGACCATTTCTTCTCGATCTATGTTGAACCCCCCTTTCTCTCCCAAGGGCTCTTCAAGAGTAATCGGGGTTCCACATATTCTCACTGTACCCATGAATTTTTTAGTACATTAAATTGGCCAAAGGATGAGTGTTGGGAGAGCTTATTTGCTTAACCTCAGACAAATTCTGGTTCATGCTTTACACTTAAAGTGCCATTCTTCTTGGCGGTTTTTTTTCAAAAATATTGTTTATCGTCTTGAATTTACCGGTAGAACTTGTATGTGTTTGGTTGACTTGGCTGGACACTGGTTACTCGTTTCCTGTCTTGTTGGACTTCCCATCATCTTTTTTGAGACACGGTAATTCAAAGATCTATTCTCATATAAATTTGTAAAATCATGGAACCATGAGAATTGTTTGCTAATTCTTGCTTCACACTTTTTTGCACATCAATATGTGTTCTGTGTACGATAAAGTTTAACTCATGTATCAGGTGAAAAGAATATACATCCCCTTGCCGGATGCAAATGTTCGGAGAGATCTCCTGAAGCACAAGCTCAAGGGTCAAGCATTTTCTTTGCCGAGTGAGAATATGTTCCTCCTGCTACACATTTCCATTAATAATTTGCTTATTACTGCCTTTGGCATGTATCTCCATTGGCAAAGGGGTGGGGCAACTTTGCCCAAATACAAGTCAGGTCTTGGGTTTAGTCTCGGGCCCCCTGCTAGCCTCAGTCGCTAAGTGAGCCAAAAAATTCTCCCTCACATTGGTGTCCTTGGAGGCTGGGTTCCGTGTGGGACCATTGCCGGTAATCAACATTTTCCCCCAGTAATTTGCGTATTACTCCCTCCGTCCCAAAATAAGTGTCTACATCCCTATTTTTGTTTGTCCCAAAATAAGTGTCCACTTCCAAAAGTGTCTACTTTCCAATTCTACCCTTAGTTATAAGATGGATATATTCATTACTCTCTTTATCATTTAGTTAATTAAAGTGTAATAATTACACATTTCTAAAACTGTGCATTTTTCAGTGGACATTTATTGTGGGGTGAAGGGAGTATAAAAATGTGTTGTCTTCTAGATGCAAGTACAATAGCTTGCATCAGAAGAGCATATACCTGAAGTACGTGCAAATAGGAGCTTCTGAACTTTTTGCATTGCCTTTTGAATGGTATTAAATGGGTGATTGACCTTTCCATATCACTTCGGTGTACTAATTTGTTCATGGTTTAAGCATACGATCACCTTAAAGTTCATTTTTCCATGTTTCTGACATTGTTGTCTGGTACAGGTGGGGATCTCGAAAGACTAGTGAAAGACACTGAGGGTGAGATGGTTTTCAATAGGGCAAATTTAGAAAGCATACATTTAGCATATCTGTCTTTCTCTAATCCTATTAATCTGTATTGCCGTTGCTTCCTCATATCACATTTTTAGTGTATCTGTTTGTCTCCTTTTCTCACACTTTTCACTGGCTAGGGGTCTTCACGGAAACAACTACTCTTTAGGGTAGAGGTCAGGTCTGGGTATATCTTACCCCGCAGACCCCTCTCCGGTGGGATATACTGGTTTTGTTTTGTTTTGTTTGGTTTGGTCTATATTGGCTATAGAAGTCATTTGCTCGGATTTGCATAAAAATCATCGTGCATGATGTGGTTGTTGCTTACCTCATGGGTGCATAACCGAGTCCAAACATGCTTTTGTTTCATATTTGTTTTGTGAAGGAGACGGAGGATGATCATGAGATTAGGGTGAAAAAGAAATTATTTTTGAGTTCATTCCCTAAATTCTTTTCTCATTGCCCTTCCTAAATTCTCTTCCTAAGAGCATCCTCGATGGTTGTTTTTCCAAGAACTGGGACCTACAAGCTTAGGTGGCCAAGCGAGACAAGAAAAGAAGTGGAACCCACAAGCTTATTGAGGGCTTGTGCAGACGCAAGCAAAAAAATCTGATGTGGGCAAAAAAGCTCTCAGAAAAAAAGTCTTCATAAATCTCCATTGTGGATGCTTTAAGCTCATCCTGCATCAGAACAAAGTGCATAATCTACGATTTTTATTTTTATCCAAGTAGTTATTCATAATGTGCTGATTGTGTAGGATATTCTGGGAGTGATCTGCAAGCTTTGTGTGAGGAAGCAGCGATGATGCCTATAAGAGAGCTTGGTTCGAACATTCTCACCGTCAAGGCTGATCAGGTAACTTTGCTTAAAATGTTATCTATTTCTTCCTCGGCCCCATACAAGTACCGATTTCATTTTTTGACAAGTTCTCTTTTTCAATATTTCAAGCTAAATTACCTAATTTTCTTATTTTGGCTCATTCTCCTTGATGATGCTTCAACTTAGTTACAATCGATTAATAATTTCTTATATTTTTGTGTCGGATTAACGGTTTGATTAAAAAAATCCAACTTTGTGGTACCCAAGAATCATGAATAAAACCTTGAGGGCTAACTCAACTAGCAAATAAAGTCTAGGACTCTTAGGGCTTCTCCCCATTGGTCGCTTGTTCTAGTCTCCTCATGGCCAATGGGGATTTTCCTGGTTGTTATCTTTAGGGCCCCATGTGATTAGTTCAGTTGCGCACAAGCTGGCCCGGACACCCATGCTACCCAAAAAAATCATGAGTTCTCTTGTACGCTCACCATTTGATATATGGGTTGGCTGGTGTACCCAACTCGGGCACCTTGCAAGGTCTATTCATAATACCTCTATTTCCCATTATTAGGTTTATGCACAACACATTCTTATTTTCTTTATCGAATCCAATCAGCCATGTTTGCAATCATAGGCTATCTTATTCTTTTGAACTTATTGAAAAAGCCCCATTTGGTTACCAAACATGACTAGTTTAACAACTATCTTATCAGCCAGTTTCCCAAGCATACCCTAAGAGCCTGTTTGTTAGCAGCTTAACACAACTTATTCGATCAGCATAGGATTGTTTGGTAGTGACTTAATGATATAGAAAGTGACTTATTTGGTAAGCTTCTAGGGGGATATTTATGCAGAAAGCCGAGTTTTTTTCTCCCCGAACCTTCCCCTTCCAATAAAAAAACACGTTCCTTCCATTTGTGAGAAGACTCTCCCAAACAAAAACCTTTCTAATCTATACAAACAGATTAATCTACACAAACAACTTTATCCATACAGTACTTAACGGAAAACCAACCAAACAGCCCCTAAATCCCACACGAAGTGAGATCTGGGGAGGGTAAGATGTACACGTTCTTTCCTCAACCTCAAAGTGTCTCTAATCCTACACAAGTAAATGCCAAAAATCTTACCATGATCACGTTAGAACTTAATCTTCAATTGTTATATGCCTGCTACCAGTTACGACGGTTAAAATACGGAGATTTCCAGAAAGCGATGACCGTGATTCGACCAAGCCTTCTAAAAAGCAAATGGGAAGAGCTTGAACAGTGGAACAGAGAGTTCGGCTCTAACTAATTCCACCATCAAAAAATAACAGAGGGTAAAAAAATCACGTTTTCGGCTACAGGAAACAAGATCGGCCCCAAAATTAAACAGCTATACCGTATAAGGGTTGGATTCGACAAATCCGGATGAAAGTACAACTTTTACTACATGAGGTACAAGTCACAGCATATGCTCCGGAAAGGTACAAATTACAACTTTCACTGCATAAGGTACGAGTGTTTATAGCATCATCGTTCTAGAATTTATGGAACGGGATTTCGTCAAATATTGTAATGACTTGTATGTTATTCATCGATGAATGTATGGTCAATCTTTGAAACATATGGCTGCTTAACCTTTGATGATATTTGGAATTTGTAAAACATGTAGTGAATGTATTATTTCCTTCGTTCCAAAATAAGTGTCCCGGGTTTTGTTTATATTTGTCTCGGAATCAGTATCTACTTTCAATAACGTTGCGTTCTCGAAACCTGTTTTACGAAGAAAAGGAAAGGGACGGAAAGTAAAAAACTCGTGTTCTTGTAACTTTTTTAGGAGAGAGAAAGGAAACCAGAAGGAAAATAATGATAAGTTTCTTTTCAAAACCCAAATATGGGCCGAAAGGGAAGGAAAAGAAACAAAATTAGAACTCCTCGACGATTTGTGTGCATTTTGTTATTTTTAAAAGTATGAGGACCTGTTTGGTTGATTCGATAAAGTCTAGGTACCGTAAAAGTGAAACAGCAAAAATGTAAACTTGGCTTCGCCCGGGTTCGAACCGGAGACCTTCAGTGTGTTAGACTGACGTGATAACCAACTACACCACGAAACCGTTGGTTGTTTTGTTAATTTTTTAACATTTATCGTCTTTTGAATTTTTTGGGTGCATTTTGTTATTTTTGAAAGTCTGAGGACCTGTTTGCTTGATTCGATAAAGTCTAGGTACCGTAAAAGTGAAACAGCAAAAATGTAAATTGGCTTCGCCCGGGTTCGAACCGGAGACCTTCAGTGTGTTAGACTGACGTGATAACCAACTACACCACGAAACCGGCTTGTTTATTTTTATTATCTTTTACATAAATATATGTTTATTCTTAGTGTAACAATAATAAAAGATAGTTTGGCAGTTGCTGAAATAGTTTGCTTTAGAATGATTAAAAGACTCTCATGATATAGTATAAAATAAAATATAATTGTTTGATAATTGTTTACAAGGAAATTAGGGCACTGAATGGTTAAGGAAGACCAAAGATACAAAAGCATCAAAGGGTTAGAACCATTACATTTTTTTTTGCCAAACAAAGATTTACCTCTTAAATGTTTGAAACTGTAGTTTGACTTTGTGTTGGTCAATTCATATAAATATTTTGTAAAGTTTGTAGTAGAAAAGAGAGCTTATTGTATAGATTTACATGTTCATGATTTGTAGAGAGTTTCTAGAGAGAGAAACTTGTTTTTAGAAAGAGAAACAATCAGTACATATGATTTGAGTTTAATTGTTGTTCTTGATTGTTTAGATTACTTGTTACTTGATCACAGCGGGATTATCACTTATATAAAACCGAGTATGCAAAAAAGGTACTTATGTCGTTTTTGTAAATTAAGGAGCCGTTTACCAAACACTTACCCGGTAAGTGCTTACCGGTAAAATTTAACACTATTATTTACTTACCGGATAAGATTTTAATCCATCAAAACGACATTGTATGCAACAATTCACCCGGTAAGCACTTACCGTGGTAAGAGTCGTCGCCCTCACTTACCGGGTAAGACTCATGGTCCGTGTCTCGCTCTTACCGGGTAAGATTCTTAGTCCTTATCATATTCATCCGGTGAGATAATGTGACTTGGTAAGCGCCTACCCGGATAAGTGTTTGGTAAACAGCCCCTAAATTAATACAGATTTTCTACATGCAATTATCGTCGGAAATCAAAAACCGAACCAAACAAACACAATATATCCCCCACCTGAAGGTAGGATACGATATCAATACCCAAATCAATTCAACCCGAAACTTTGAAAAAGAGCCAAAGAACATCGATAAAAAAGCAATACGAGTGTAACACGAAGGTTATGCCGTTGGGTTCGGTTCAAAAGCTTTCACAACTCGGAAAATTCGAAAATAAAAGGATCTGGTTCACGGTTACAAACCAGACTCGACCAAAGTACCGAACCAAACAAATCCCGTATATCCCATATAGACATTAGTCTGGACCAGATTGAACCACATAGTTATCTAATGAATTTAACCATAATAAACAAGCTCGGAGAACAACAAGCCATCGACTCAACGGTGGAATCGGACTCGATCTTTTAAGTAACAGCTTATGTAGAGATGGTGGTGGCATCACTGCTGCCGGGGTTGCTGCTAGATTCATCGTTTGATCGATTTCCATCATCGTCCATTTGTTTATAACTCGACCCTACTGAGAAAGATCGACTAGCGTTCAAGTTTCGAAGATTCTCGACCTTTTTAGCCCCTCGGTGCATGTGTATCCCACAGTATTTCTGCTTCGGGAGGGCATCTTTGCTGCACTGCCATTTCTTGCCGTCGGTTCTTCGGCATCTTTCGGATCCGGTTACGGAAAGAGCGATGCTATTATCGTGGCTTGAGGTGCCGCAACCTTGAACTACAAATGTAAGAGACAAATAGCTCGTGAGAAACTAGACGGAAAACAAACGTCACAAAAACAACGAAACCAAAACGATAAAGAAGTAGATAGTTTTAAGACATACCATTGCCATTTTGAAGTACACTTTTTGGGGAGAATCCGAACTCGAGAGCATTTACCCTGCTAAGTTTCTTGATTTTGAGGCTTTGATTCTTGATATGAACTTTGCCATGATTTATAGCATTGTTGATTGCAGCGGATTGAAGATTAGAAACGGGTTTCAGAGATGAAACGGTTGAGATTGACGTTGATACGGTTTCAGGAACTTCCACAGGCTTTCTTGAACGTAATCGGCCTCTGTGTATGTGGCGCTCACAATACTTCTGAGAAGGAAGCACGGGCCAACGACACCTCCATTTCTTCCCATCGGTTCTTCTACACCTCCCTGGTTCAAGATCCATCGGGCTCGGTTCACGAACCCTAGAGGACCAAATGCTTTGACTGAAAAAGCAAAACATGTTTCATATTAGGGTGAATTTGCACCGAACTAAGGGTCTGTCTGTTAGCAGCTTAATGAGCTTAACAGGACTCGCAACTTATTCGGTCAGTTATACATGACTGTTTGGTAGTGGCTTATATAAAGCCAAGTTTTTCCAGACCTACCCTCCCAATTAAAAAATACACTCCTATCTATGAAAAAACCCTCCTAAACAAGAACTTTTTCAATCTATACAGACTGACTTAATCCACACAAACACCTTTATACATACATGACTTAATGGAAAACCAACCAAACAGCCTCTAACGCTGAGCTAGGCTTAAGAGATATATTAGGTAGGCTTGGGCTTGGCTCATGGCTTGCCAAGCTTGCAAAACTCGGGCTTCACTTCCCAAAAGCTAGAGCTAGGTTCAATTCCTTTAAGCAGCATAAAAGCTTTTTTAAGCTCAGCCTTGGCTTGGCTTGGCTTGGCTTGGCTTGGCTAAATGAAAGCTTGAACCGTATAAACTTACACTGAAAATTACCAAAACTTACTAATCATTTAAGCGAATAACGTACATAACCAAGCAAAATCTAATCAAGAAACTCAAGAACCCACATAGGATACTCCATGGAGTAATCTTAATTATTCAGAATGAGAAAGTTCAATGATTTCTTCATTCAAAAAAATAGTTTAGGGACTTAGGGGCCGTTTACCAAACACTTACCCGGTAAATAATTATCAGTAAATTTAACACTATCATTTACTTACCGGATAAGATTTTAGTCCACCAAAACGGTATCGTATGCAACAATTTACCAGGTAAGCGCTTACCATAGTAAGAGTCGTCGCCTTCACTTACCGGGTAAGACTCTTGGTCATTGTCTCGCTCTTACCGGGTAAGATTCTTGATCCTTACCATATTCATCCGGTAAGGTAAAATGACTTGGTGTTCACTTACCCGAGTAAGCGTTTGGTAAACGGCTCCTTAATTATTCAAAAGGGAAAAGTTCGTTGGGTTTTCTTGAACTTTTCCGTTAACTAAATTAGTAAAATGCACAACCAATCTCACATAATACCAACTTATGCAGAGCTGTCCTCTGTCCCCAAATAGTAGAACGGTTGTTTCTCGCGATTGCTACGAGTGCTTGCGTAACCAATCTCACGTAATCAAGCAAAGTATGATTCAGAAAACCAAAATGTCACCTAAAATATCAAATCTAGAATCCCAAATGGCAACAAATCAATATGGAATCAAACCCTATAACTCCATGATGAGTGAACATCAAAGCAAACCCACAACAAAATTTCAACAAAACTCAATAACCAAAGCAGAATCTGATGAACAACCTTAAACCCTACCTCAAATTTCAAAATGGAATCCCCAAATTGAGCAAAGGATTACAAGTTTATGCAACAAAAAAGCATAAAATCTTACATCTAACCAAACCCCCACCTGAAATTCCAACATGGAGTACCAAATTTCAATATGGAATCACAAAATTGAAGAGAAAGGGCTGCAACAAACCTCAAAATCTAACAAAAATCAGCAGTCTAATAAAAAACCCCACCTGAATTCGAGTCCTGAGTTCCAAAATTACCAAAAAAAACAGAAGTAGAATAGAACGAAACGAAACGAAACGAAACGAAACCTGATAAATGACTGAGAACCAGAATTAGAAGCCAACTCAATCGACGATGATCACCTTCTTGCTATCATATGCATCGAAAACAATTACAAAAACCATAAATAACCAAACAAAACATCTGAATTTTGAGCGTGGGTTAGAGAGAGGAAGAACCTGAGTGCATTTTAAGCAATTGAGTCGCCATTTTTCTACGTAGGGTTCTTCAGAAAACACCCAACAGTAGTAGTACAATAGTGAGAGAAAACAACATAGCGCCATTCGATATATATGGGTGTTGCCATTAGAGTAGTTTGTCAGAGGCCTTGGGTGAAACTGACGGTGGGTTTCAGAGTTTCAGCCTTCAACAGAGAGAACAGTGGCAGAAAGTAGAAACCCACGCGCGCGTAAGCTTTACGTCCTTGGTTGGCGCGTCTATATATAGTTATATACGTTCAAAACTGGCGTGGGCCGAATTTGGCCCGGATGGGCCACCAGCAGTCCAATAAGAAGACCTGTATTTGTAAGTTGTATCGTAACCCATCATCAACTCGCTCTGAGTTGGCAACTCAACTTTGACTCGCTTATCTTCGATGGCTGACTCAGGATTTTTTTCGAAGAGGTCAACCGGTGTGTTTTGGTTCATTTCGAGAGAGTTTTCAGGTTTTTTGGTTCATTTTGAAAGACTTTTCGGGTTTTTTTGGTTGATGTTCCTTATATTTTCTAATATCCATAAGTACTATAAAATAGTTTAACGGGTATACATATCATACCTCAAAAAAATCCGACTTGCAAAAATAATTTGAACAGGTGCATGGAAACCTGCTCGGATATACATAGGTCCATTCTTAGTTATCCCGGTTACAAATTATTTGAGTTCGAACTTGATTCAAAGTCAATAAAACCATAATTTGTTTCAAATATTAGGGGTTATTTGTTTACTTTTTAATAGTTCCATTAAGAGGCAGTTTCTGAATCGTTAAGAGGTGAATCTTGTTTGGTCAAAAAAAAGTATGTCTCTTAATGATTCTAAAACCCTCCGAATGGTTTGACAGTTGTTAAATTGTTTGGTGCAAAATGATTAAGTGGTCAGAATAATTAAGAGGCTCTCATGATATAGTGCAAAATGAAATATAATTGTTTGATAATTGTTTACAATGAAATTAAGACGCTAAATGATTAAGGGAAAACTCATGATACAAAATCATTCAAAGAGTTTTAAAACCATTAAGAGACAAACTTTTTTTAGCCAAACAAGATTCACCTCTTAATGATTCAAAGACTGCTTCTTAGTGGAACTATTAAGAGATAAACAAACAACCCTTTACCATATGAGAATAAAAATAAAATGTACGTTGTTCACATTTCACTAATATATCCTACACTTTATTTAAAATTTATTTAATACAAATTTATATTATTTATATCCAGTTATCATTCTTTATTGTTATTTAACTTTTGGTACGACGTTCTGAATGTATGAAATTATATTTCTTTTTTTCCTTTTCCTGGAAACGGATGATCCTAGACTTCGTACAGACCAATCCAATCTGCAAATTACAAGTGTAGGCTTCGTCCACAACCCTCAGATAAATCACCCAGTGTCCACGATCGTATATATAGATGGAAGAACTCGAACTCGGGTTGAGTTTATCATTCTATTTTCCTTGTCCTTGCTTTTATCGGTGTGTTAATCCAGCATTTATTATGAAATCAAATACAGATAATTTCATACCCATGCCAATATGGTTATCCGACTAGATCTGTTGGCTGGTTTATTTGCAAAACATCGTATTTTACCCTTTTTCCCTCCATCCTTCGCCTCTTCAGGTACAACATTGGACCATTTTGCAAACATATTTTACTATAAACTCAGCTTTGATGATTTTCTAAACTTGAAGGGGTGTATTGGTATTTCATGATTTTGAAGGGTGTAATATGTCCATTTGGGCTATAGCCCACTTTTATTGCATGGGCCTCCTATTTTTACTAATATCCAGAAAAAAAAACATTATTATGTTTTTTCTCTTCTATTTAGTTAATATTTATATATATATTTTTTTATCGATTTATGTATTTATATAAATAGATATTTATCCCCTCTCTCTCTCACACACACACAAACATATACATATAGACTTGGAATCACATAAGACCAGTTTGCTTTCGTGAAATCCGTGAGACCACTTTTTTCCTTTTGAAACTTCAATAAAACGTTATGAATGTAACTTTCACAGTGTTTTTGCTGTGAAGGTTCGGCTTTCTTTTACCTTCACAGCGTTTTGCTGTGAAATTTCAAGTGTAAAAAAATGATCTCACAGGTCTCACGAAAACAAACCGGTCTCACATGAACCCAACTATATATATATATATAAAGGGTACTTGTGTAATGTAGCGAGATATATCTCAATTTTAATGTTTCGTTTTATTATTTGTCTCAGTCGATATAATAAAAAACAATAATTTTTTTTATTTTTAAATAAATATAAATTAAAAGATATCATAAAAAATTAAAAAAAATCGGTGTCGGTATCAAATTAACTATTTAAAAATTCTTTCTTTTTTTGTTTAATTCTTTTAATTCAATTTTTTATCATAATTTAATTTAGGTTTAATAATGAATTAATTTATTTTTGTCTTTAATAATATAATTTTTTATAAAGATAATAATTAACTATTATGTTAAACTCAAAATTTGTGTGAATTAAAAGTTTAGATTTTTTATATTTAAAATGAAAATTTTATAATATATTTGATTATAATTACATGTAGTTAATTACACGAATTCAAAACTGAAATTCTAATAAGTTGTATTTGACCACAATTTACTTGTAGCTTTAAAATTTAAGTAATATGCATCAATAAACAGTAATTCATGCATAAAAATGATTTTTTAAGACTTTTAGTGATAATACAACTAAAAAGTTAGTCACACAATGCAGCAAGATACATCTCGATTTTAATATTTATTTTATTTGCATCTATCGATGTTATCATATGATTTTATGTGATTTTGAAAAAACGATAATATTTTTGGGTTCCAGTAAAATATAAATTTGAAGATCTCATAAAAATTTGAAAAAATATATGTATCAATATCAATACCAAAATAACTATTCAAAAGTTCTTGTTTTTTTTGTAATTCGTTTATTTCAATTTTTATATTATAACTTAATTTAGATTTAATAAGGAAGTAATTTACTATCGGTGTAATAATATAACTTTTTTGCAAATCTATTAGAAGTTAATAATTATTTTAATTATATTTTAGATTTTTATATATTTAAAACGAGACGTTTATCCTGTATTTGATTATGTTTGTCGGCAGTTAGTTACACAAATTCGAACACAGGGCTTTAATAAGTTGTACTTACGTATAATTTACTTGTAATCTTGAATTGCAAGTATTATTCATCAATAAACAGTACATAATGCATCAAAAATGATTCTTAAGAGTTTGTATCAAATGTTTTATAATACAGTATATATATATATATATATATATATATATATATATATATATATAGGTAGAGGTTCAAACGAGAACCCCTGTGATTTACAAGAATGCGAGAACAACCCAATAACCTCAAACTTTTTTAATTAATAAATTAACTTATATTATATATTAATAATTTAGTAAGGGCAGTAATGTAACTAAATAATTTTTATAATTTTTATTTTATTTCAATTTCATAATAATCCCTTTTGTTGACCACGTCTCCACGTTTTCCTTTGGTTAGTTTTCTTATCTAACCTTCTTCTCCAGATCGTTCATCCTTCTTCTCCAGATCGTTTATGATAGTCGACTTTCTTAATATCTTTTCTTCATATCGTTAGTATCCATATTTTTGTCGATCTAGAATGGACGACTTGAAACCCATATCACATGATTATCAAACCATATCACACAAAATCGTTTTTCTTGTGATAAATGTGTGATTGTCTAATCCTAACCTATCGAAACTATCTAAAATCGTTGTGATAATGTCTAACCTAACCCATTGAAACCATGATCAAGTCGAGTGATATTGATATCACATTATCATACCCATATCACATGATTATCACACCCATATCACACAAAATCGTTTTCGTTGTGATAAATGTGTGATTATCTATCCTAACCTATCAAAACCATCCGAAATCGTTGTGATAATGTCTAACCTAACCCATTGAAACCATAATCAAGTCGAGTGATATTGATATCACATGATTATCACACCCATATTACACAAAATCGTTTAATTGATTTCGTCAGTAATTCGTTGTGATAAATGTGTGATAAACTAATTAGATAAGACGTTATAACTTCTTTGTTGGTCTCCTTGAATTCTTAACCGATATATTAGATAAGGATAATCAATATTAATCATGTGATCGTGTTAAAAGATTTTATGATATCATTTCCATTATTACCCTTTTAATTTTAATTTTTTTAATCTTTTTAAATTTCAATTTTAATTTTAAAAATCTTTTAATTTTATTTTTTTTATCACAATATGAGGTTAATAGGTTGTTCTCACATTCTCGTAAATCACAGGAGTTTTCGTTTAAACCCTTATATATATATATATATATATATATATATATATATATATATATATATATGGGGGTAAAAGATTCAGAGATAACCATAGAAAAAAAAAACTGAATAATGTATTCAAACTATTGATTGGTATTTTAAGATCCGGTCAAAAATGTGATTATAACCACTTTTTTCAAAAATAAATATATATTTTCCTATTTTTTAAATAAAAAATCGGTTAATATAATGAGAATTAAGTAAGCATATTACACCAACAAACCGATACTGTATTATCTTTAATTTTACATCTATTTTGATATATTTTTTATCTGTTTTTTTTTTCTGATTTTCTTTCTTTAGTTTTTCTCTCAATCTCACTCGTAAGTTGTTGATTTGATTAAGGAACGTTTACCAAACACTTATCCGGATAAGCATTTACCAAGTCATATTATCTTACCGGATGAATATAACAAGA